TCGTTCTGGTTAACAGAATTGAAGGGTATTTAGAGTAGCGGTCGATAGCTGTGACATTCGACCAGGATGGCCAAAATGCAATCTCTGCAGACTTCGAAATTTTAGCAGTGAACCTTCCGAGTTAATGATTTTGAAGGATTAACGACGTTATCCGGATGATTAGCAGAACGGTGAAGGTCAGGATATTCCCGTATTTTAAAATTTTAAATTTTCGAAGTGATGACGTAACATTTCTGAGAAATGCTGAAACGGCCATTTTAACAAAAAACGAGAGAGAAAACACAACAACATTAGTTGCGCTGACGATAACAACGATAATCGTGATTGAAAAACAGCAGCAGATTGCAGGAATAGCAGAGAACGTTCCGAGTTGCAACTATTGTGCTGCTACAATAGTTGCAAGGCCGTTGCGAGCAACGGTGAAGGGTGAGAAACCAGCCTTCCGGATTAGGAGGAAATCAAGATTAGCGAGCTTGATTCACCGGATTCAAGAATCCGGAAGGGTCTCGGGACGGAAAACTTTTATTGACTCATACGAACTTTTAGCTTCCTGTCATGTCCTGACTTGAATTTAATTAATATTTGGATTCATTTTGATAAGGATGAGAAGCTAGGAGTTGGGGGGAAAGGGTTGATCCATCTTCGATGGAGATGATGATTTTTATCTACTGAACAAAAACAATAGTAATATAATAAATAGTAGCCCTGTTTTTAGGAGTGACCTCGTGGTCTGGGGATACTGAGACCCAGCCATGAGCTCACTATTTGCATGTAATTAAGTTAATTTGAGCGTTCTGGTCGAAGCCGGAGAACAGTAACGTTTTTGTCGACCCGATGTTAGAAAGACCACCGAAAAGTACTGGCTTGGTAGAGACGGTGAAAAGCATGCAAAGCTCTGTTTAGACGTTAGCCAGTCGTCTTAAGACTTAGTTTTGTTATCCGTCGATATGTATCTTCCGGGCGAATGTTACAAGCGACCAGAAAGTAAATTGGCCCCTGCTCCATCCGAAAGTGGTCCTGCATAGTCTAATTGAATTTCTCGTTTAGGTTCGTTCAATAATGGAAGAGGTTTCGATCAGCTAAACTTGTTAATAAGTTTCAAAATCTTACCAAATAAAGTACATTCCTTGCGCTCCTTGCACATTCTGACTATTTTCCGGTTGATTCTTTGTCACCAGATGTAATGCGCTGCGTCTATCAAGGCTTCCTGGCCCCTGTATCCTGGGATCTGTGTAGTCTCGATAGGACTGCTTTTTGCAAACAGGAGGGGATGGCGATGCGGTCGTCAATGATGATGCAACCGTTGACGATTGCTGCTGCATTCCAGAACGAATTGATGTATGGGTCTATTCTCAAAAATCCCTCATAGTCTTTACTGAGTATCGCTTGTTTCATAAGGCGATAAGTTGGGTCCTCGTCGACCAGTTCTGACAAAATGTCTGCGTCGAGAAAGCCCGTTAAACCTGGGAGCGAGTTCCTGTCGTCTGTCGCAAACTTCCTTGGTTGAGCAGCGTTTATCCTGTTGATTTGGGTCTTCTTCTTCCTCTGGATGGTTGCAACCTTTCCCCTTTTCGATCTCTTATTTGCTAAAATTTGGGCGTATTTGAATTTCAGTTGAGTTCCCCTTTTCTTTTTCTGTGTTGGTTTTAATGCGTGGGTTTCTTTCTCCTTATTGCCCTGCCCTTCTCATTGATCTTGTTCTGGCGAAGAGGTCATCTGGTATGGGCGCTACTTCGTTTAGGAGGCGTTCGAAACTGTCGTTCGTTTGAACTTCTTTTGGTACATTAGACCACATATCTGAAAAAGGAATGAATGAATTGGCTAAAACTCGGTCGGATTGATTAGATTGACTGGTATTTATTTGTTGTTGACGTTGGCCGAGAATTGCCAGAAATGACATGAGAGTTTCGCTGAGTTAACTCTAGCGGTTGAGCATAAATTACATTGGAGATATTTGATTGGTTGATAGAGTGAGTATCCTCAAAAAATTGCATATTTACGTCCATTTTGGCGGGAGAGTACTTACATGATTGGTCGCCCTCAAACGTTTGTGCATTTCGACCGATCGTTGATCGGGTCTTGCAAAATTTTGTCGCCCTCTTGTGTGATATTGGCAGTGTTTTCAATGAATTTGATAACCCGATCCTTCTTGCTTTCTATATCTATGATTTTGTGGGTGAATAAGTCCTTATCTGCCTGGTTTATGCTGACAACTGGAGAGTATGGGTGGAATATTGCCTATCGGAAATTATTTCCATCCATAGTTTTTCTATAGTGTCACAAGCTGGGAAGAATTTATTAATAGTTTTGACTACAAACTGCTCGTCAAAATTAGAAGGGTCCGGTGCTTCGAAAGTCGGATAACGGGATTGATAATCGACGATTCCTAGTTTTGATCCGGAAATGTGAAATATGTCGAAGTTAAAAGGTAGGAGTCTATCTGTCCACCTGGTTAATCTTGAATGATAAGATTTGTTACCGCGATTAGTTTTCAGAGCCGAGATTATTGCTTTATGATCAGTAAGTATTTCAAAGTTGTTGCCAGTAGATAATTCCCAAAGTGTTCACAGGACCAAACTAATGCTAACAATTCGAGTTTGCTGGTGCTGTATTTCTTTTTCTTGAACGTTGAGGAATCTAGATGCAAACGACATCGGTACCCAAGTGTCCTTCATGAGTTGTTGTTCTAGGGCCGCTCCTAACCCACTGTGACTGGCGTCACATTTGATTCTTGATTTTCTCTTGGGATCGTAGTGGTACACCGTGGTGATAACCGATCTAAGTTTCAATGTAGCTTCGAAGGCGTCTTGTTGACTCTTATCCCAAATAAATTTCTATTTTGTTAGATGATGTCAGGGATGGGCGGAACTTTTCCCTAAATAACTGTAGGTAAGGTAGGAAACGTTGGAGATGGTTAAGTATGCCCAATTAAGGATATTATTTGTTTAAGAGTTCTTGAGGGTTTCGTTTCTAGAATAGCTTGGACCTTAGAGTGTTTAGGTCTATAGCCTAGATGATCAATGTCGAAACCCAGCCAGAGATTTTTTTTTACTGAAAACTCACATATCGATAGCTTCAATGCGAAACTGTCTTTGTACAGACTTTCAAATACGTTATTTATAATTAGATTGTGGTCAATTAGAAAGCGACCCTTTTGTAACAATTAGGATATTGTCTAAAAATCAAATGACACCCGGTATCATGCTAAGAGTGTTGTCCATTGCCTTTTGAAATTCTTTAGGCATGTCTGAAAGCCCATAAAAACCGGTTTTGAAGCAGTAAGTACCTGTAGCGTCTCCATATAAGATTTTAAATTACAGTGGTTACTGACCGAATCACTTAATTGGAGCTGACTAAAAGCGTATTTAAGATCTAAAGAAGTGAAAAATACTTCACCCGGTAAGTTGGAATTGATTGTTTGGGCTGCTACGTCCAGTTGTTCTAAAAGATATGGCATTTGATATTGGTTTTAAAAATCCGAGCGTTCATGGGTTTTGCGTTCAACGCTATTTCCACTGAACCATCCTTCTTTGCCTTAATAACCACAGGTGCTACAAAAAATTCGCTGGTACACTTGTTCAATTTAACTATATGACCTTCTCTAATAAGACGTTTGATTTCCTCTCCAACTTTTACTTGTTTGTGAATCGGGATTCTCCTACCCTTTTCTTTAATTGGAATTAGAGGTTGCTTGAAGACTGTGTGTACCCGGTGATTTTTTGATCTGCTAAGTCTTATGAAGATGTCTTTGTATGTTTTGAGTAAAAATTCTTCCAATGGGCGTGATTGGGTTGTTTTGACCCCTATTGCATCTTGTAAAACTAGGCCTAGTAGACATCTTGTCCTGTTTTCAGGACTCCTGTAGACATCTTGTCCTAGCAGACATCTTGTCCTGTTTTCATGTGACATTAGGTAATTGGCTATTTGACTTTCCAGCCTAATGACGATATGTCTGTTACCAGGGTTCCAAATATTTCAATCGGCTTGTGGTTATAATCAACATAAGATATGTCGATAGGCAATGATGATTTAGGATATATTTTTAAATTTTTTCCTGTCCTTAAAAGGAGGTCCGCTGTATTTTTATTTACAATAAAGGCTGGACTGCCCGTATCTACAGTGGTTTTGAATAATGAGTTATTTACCCTTAAGGTAACTAGAAGGCTCTTGATTTTTCCCGATGATGAGTTTATTACATCCAGTTTTTTGACTGAGAATAATTTGGGAACTGATATAATGTGTTTCGCGTGGGATAAGTGTTCCCTCGGCGAGACTTTGGATTAGGATGTTGATGACTAGTTCCTGAAACTTTCAGAACGCCAAACTCTGATTCGCTGTCCGACGTTATGAAGTTTATATTTTCTTCTACTGTAGAATTTGACTCATTATCTCCATTATTTACATTTTTGGTGGAATTACAACATCTGGCGAACGGTCCCTTTTTGTTGCATGATTTACAGATTACACCTCTAGCTGGGCACGATAATTTATGATTAAGCGAATAATCCTTGACGCCGAAATAACATGCTTTCTGGTTTTTGGTTGGTTTGTTTGGTTTACCGAATGTAGAATTCTGATTTTGAGCACGGTTTATTCTGTTTTGTAAGTTCTTTTTCTGAACTGATAGTGTAGGTTCCTGTTTGACCCTGAATGGGTTATTTGAGTTCTGGTTTGAGTAATTTGAATTGAAGTTGTTTCCCATTTGTTTTTGTATGGTAGATGCTGTTGCTTAGCCCGTTTCTTGTAACAGTGCGGATCTGTTACACAATCTCCCATCCCACTCACAAACGTGAGTTTGAATTTCACTTTTGAATATCAGTTTTGAAAAAAGAACAATTTTATTCTTTTTTAATTAATTGAGTAAATGAACTATTCTGAACACATTTCTTTGTTCGCTGTAGCAAAAAATCACACATTCAGCCATAAAAGCAAGCGTAAAGATCAAGAAAAAATCAATTTGAGGGGATGAAAAAGATCCTTCAATTTGAATAACAACTCACGGTTTGCATTGATCTTTCTGTAGTCTACCCTGTGCAGAGGAACGAAGTCCAGATTGAGAAACAGCTGGTGGCTGAAATGGAGCTGCTGCTGGTTCTTTGGCAGACTTGTCTTCTTCTCCCTCTCCTCCTGTTTCCCAGTAGGGGTCCCTACCGCCCCAGTCCCCACCCTGTCCACGTGATGTGAACCGTTACCAGTGGAAACTACATAAACTGAGTTGACTTGTTTTGCCCTAGAACAGACATTTAAAAGCTAGTTTTAACGAAAACAAATTGGCTACGGCTCGCGTTTTTTTGTGAAATACAATAAACTGCAAACGTTGGAACATCATACTATTTGGAAAATCATAATCCATTTGCTGCCCTTAAACATTTTTTTAAACAAAAAATGACACAAGCTTCGCCACCTGGGATATTCGCTATGAGACGAAACTGCTACCTGGGAGCTTCAGTATGAGACGAACCTCTTTACCTGGGATCTTAGCTATGAGGCGAGCCTTGCTACCTGAGAGCGTCGCTATGAAACGCGCCTCGCTAACTCCGAGCTTCGCTATGAGACGATATTCGCTACCTGCGAGCTTCGCTTTGAAACGCGCTTCGCTACATGAAGCTTCGCTATGAGACGATCCTTGTTACCCGATAGCTTCGCTATATGCGATCTTCACTACCTGGGAGCTTTGCTATTCAAAGCGCCTCGCTACCTTAGAGCTTCGCCATGATACGAGCCTAGCTACCTGCGAGCTTCGCTTTGAAATTCGCTTCGCTACATGAAGCTTCGCTATGAGACGATCCTTGTTACCCGATAGCTTCGCTATATGCGATCTTCACTACCTGGGAGCTTAGCTATTCAACGCGCCTCGCTACCTTGGAGCTTCGCCATGATACGAGCCTAGCTACCTGCGAGCTTCGCTTTGAAATGCGCTTCGCTACATGAAGCTTCGCTATGAGACGATCCTTGTTATCCGATAGCTTCGCTATATGCGATCTTCACTACCTAGGAGCTTTGCTATCCAACGCGCCTCGCTACCTCGGAGCTTCGCCATGAGACGAGCCTAGCTACCTGCGAGCTTCAGTATGAGACGAACCTCTTTACCTGGGATCTTAGCTATGAGGCGAGCCTCGCTACCTTGGAGCTTCGCCATGATACGAGCCTAGCTACCTGCGAGCTTCGCTTTGAAATGCGCTTCGCTACATGAAGCTTCGCTATGAGACGATCCTTGTTATCCGATAGCTTCGCTATATGCGATCTTCACTACCTAGGAGCTTTGCTATTCAACGCGCCTCGCTACCTCGGAGCTTCGCCATGAGACGAAACTGCTACCTGGGAGCTTCAGTATGAGACGAACCTCTTTACCTGGGATCTTAGCTATGAGGCGAGCCTTGCTACCTGAGAGCGTCGCTATGAAACGCGCCTCGCTAACTCCGAGCTTCGCTATGAGACGATATTCGCTACCTGCGAGCTTCGCTTTGAAACGCGCTTCGCTACATGAAGCTTCGCTATGAGACGATCCTTGTTACCCGATAGCTTCGCTATATGCGATCTTCACTACCTGGGAGCTTTGCTATTCAAAGCGCCTCGCTACCTTAGAGCTTCGCCATGATACGAGCCTAGCTACCTGCGAGCTTCGCTTTGAAATTCGCTTCGCTACATGAAGCTTCGCTATGAGACGATCCTTGTTACCCGATAGCTTCGCTATATGCGATCTTCACTACCTGGGAGCTTAGCTATTCAACGCGCCTCGCTACCTCGGAGCTTCGCCATGAGACAAGCCTAGCTACCTGCGAGCTTCGCTATGAGACGATATTCGCTACCTGCGAGCTTCGCTTTGAAATGCGCTTCGCTACATGAAGCTTCGCTATGAGACGAGCCTTGTTACCTGATAGCTTCGCTATATGCGATCTTCACTACCTAGGAGCTTTGCTATTCAACGCGCCTCGCTACCTCGGAGCTTCGCCATGAGACGAGCCTAGCTACCTGCGAGCTTCGCTATGAGACGATATTCGCTACCTGCGAGCTTCGCTTTGAAACGCGCTTCGCTACATGAAGCTTCGCTACATGAAGCTTCGCTATGAGACGATCCTTGTTATCCGATAGCTTCGCTATATGCGATCTTCACTACCTAGGAGCTTTACTATTCAACGCGCCTCGCTACCTCGGAGCTTCGCCATGAGACGAGCCTAGCTACCTGCGAGCTTCGCTATGAGACGATATTCGCTACCTGCGAGCTTCGCTTTGAAATGCGCTTCGCTACATGAAGCTTCGCTATGAGACGAGCCTTGTTACCTGATAGCTTCGCTATATGCGATCTTCACTACCTAGGAGCTTTGCTATTCAACGCGCCTCGCTACCTTGGAGCTTCGCCGAATAACGTAATATATCTATGTCTAATAAGAGTGTCGACTGCACTCACTGTTTCCAGTTGTAGATGAGTGTCTCCAGCATCTTAGTGGCCACTCCCTGATGTCTGAATACTGGACTCACAGTCACGTTCAACACCACCACCGGCACTTTTCCACTCGAAGACAGAGACACGCCTGAGTAAAAAAGCAGAACGATAAAATGCGAAAGAAATAACAGTCTTGTTCGGAGTACCAATCGAGAAAAAAGATTGTTTTTCTCTTGCGATTTTAGGTTTGGGAGAGGATCGAGCTTGGCGTCTCATTAAATCCCGTTCAGTTTTAGTTTGAAATCTTGTTTGAAATTCTAGAATGATTTCATATTTCGTTGGTGATTTCAAAAACATGATGGTGACTTTTTTGTCTTTCAGGAAATTTTTAGAGCTGACACTTGCATAATTGAACGTACCCTTAAATAGATTGTTGTATAAGTCGTAGTGGATCTTCATGTCAATGGGGAACAGTTGAAGGATGTCTTCCAGGAGACTCTTGCCTTGTCTGGCCGTGAAGGCCACACAACAACCCACTAGTGCGCCAGAGATCTCATCTGTGGCCAGAATTGTACTCTGTCTGTCCCGCAACTTCTCAACTGAAATAACAGGAGAAAATTAACATCCCCTTTCCCAAATAGACCAGGTTAAGATCTATTTTCATTCTCCTCCCCAGCCCAGCGGCGTTTAACAGTTTTAATGGGAAAGGCGACCATTCGTAACGGGCAACATTTCCTAGAAAGCGACAATTTGTATATGGAACGACAATTCGTATAAAGCAACATTTCGCATAAAACGAAATTTGTAACAAGGCATCATGCTTTCTGGCAAGTAGCGCATGTTTTCTCCGTTTCGCTAATATCAGGCACGAGAGGAAAACTGCGCGTAAATCAGTGTGCCGCTTAATCTACAGCTACGAATTGTCGCTTTTTAGGAACAACAACAAGAAGAAATAATTTCTCGTTGTTACAAAACGGCATATTAACCAAATGTTTGTTAAACAAACTTTATAGCAACTCGGAGAAGGACAACCAACGAACCCATTTGGATTGCAGGATGCTGCCCTAAAACCAAAGACATTCAAATAAACTTAATTGCAAAAGCATGAGATTGGAATTAACATAAACTAAATACAATTTCTGAAGAGCAAAGGTAGCAAAAAAGTAGATTTATACTCTAACAAAAAAGGTCGCTCAATAAACTGAACCCATTTAGTGGTATAAAAGACAATTTCCTGGCGATATACACCTTAAGATAGCCGGTTTAATTATATGAACTTGACACAATTGGCTGAAAATTAAAATGAAAAAAAAAAAAAAACTAGAACTTGTTCACCTGGCGGTTACTGCTTCACGACTATAATTGTTCCGACTTTTGGTACGAAAGTAACGGAATATTTGTGCTCGGGGTGGATTTTTTTTCTTCAGACAAATTTCGACTTTTTAACTGACCATTTTCGACGGAATTTTTTTTTATATCATTCAAAAGGTATTGTTTTCCTGAGCTTAAATTTGAAAAGATATTTCACCTGTGATTATTTTTCGTAAAGTTATGAGGGTTTAAAGATTGCCATTTTGGCCATTTTGACCAATTTACAACAATTAACGCGCGATATAATTCACGCTATTAACGCGTAAGCGGAGGTTTAATCCGTCTTATAAATCGTTCCAAATTGGTTGAACGAAGCTTATTTGCAATAATTGATTTGTTACAAGGAACGATCTCTATCTTTTTGTACTCTATATGGCGTGTGGGGGGATGATTTTCATAAAAAATTTCAAATTTTAGAGAAAATAATTTTCATTTTATTTTATTTCGTTTAATTTTTTTAATGTTATTACTGCTGCTCCATAAACTTTAAAAGGCAGTCGAAACATTCAGGGCTTCGCCCTGATACGAGCAGTCTTGTTCATAATTTGGATTAAATTAGCACTGCATCTAATATATTTCAATGAAAGACGATTAAAAGGTTATCTACCAATTCTATTACTTTGGGGAAATCAACTTCTCTAAATTTCAAAAAACACCAAATAAAGAAAGCACTGCAGATTTTCAGTTGAAGATTTTTAGGAAAAGATGAATCTTTTGTTTAGTTAGCACTTCTTATTGTCGCAAAACTCCTAGTTCGTTTTCTTCATTTTTTTGAGAAATTTTAAGATCAAATACGTTCAAATATGTAACGAAATTTTTGGCAACCGCATCAAATTAGACTGTTAGTTCACTTTTTTAGACGTTTTTCAGGTCAATGTTGTGGTATAACTGCAACAGCAGCGGCAGCAAAAAAACACTCCTGATAACGAAGTGGTTGGATGTTATCAGTTTGATTTTAAAAAAGAACCAATAATAAATAACCCAACCCCCTACTACCTCCCTCCTCAATCCCACTTTCCCGTAACCAAACCCCCCCCCCCCCCCCCTAACTAGCCTCGTCTTTTTCAACTGAACTAAACTAAACTAACTAACCCATGTTGTTGATGTAGAGTTCGAGAGATGGCAAGTTGATCTCTCCCTGAAGAAGTAATGACTTCACAATGGGTTCACTGCCCACAAAAGCAGTCAGCAGAAAACTGCGCAATTTGTCCTCATCAAAGCCCTCTGGCGGGTGATTGTACACAAAATAGTCGGCGTGCTTCTTCATTGTAATTAATAATTTAAATTATAATTAAATGATAATTAAAATTATAAATAACTGGACAACTAATTCGCCTCAAGTTTTATGAGATTTTTTTTGGTATAGACACCATTCGATATTAGGATATCTGGGTTTTTTTTGTTTTGTCTAAGATGATTTTTTGAGTGTTTTTTTTTAAATTTATAAACTAACTTCTATCATTATTCAGATTGGGAGTCAGAAGCTTCGAACTCTCCAAGTATTTGCCCATAAAAAGGAAAATTGGTATAAAGCCCTTGAGTAAAAAACTATCGGCGTTTGCGCATCGCCGGTGAATAAAACATTTAACAAAATATCAAATTAAGTTTGTTAAATTTTTTCTAGTAATGATTAGAGCTCTAAGTTTGCGTTTTATTTAAACTGTGTGCAACGTTGAAAAATTTGGTATGCATAAACTAAACATTTAGATGAAAACGAAGCAGAGCTCAAATATAAAGTAAGAAAAAACAGCTGCAAAAGATGACAAAACGTTTTGTTTTGCTTTTTTTCGAAATAATAAACCAAAAAAAATGGGGCAAATGATGCAACATTTTCTAACATTTTTTGGTCTTTCCCAGAGTTTCGAGGTGCTGTCTGGTATTTTTTTTCGGTATGATATTATCGGTTTCTATTAAGATAGATTACCGATGAATATTTGTTTGTAGATTTTGAAGATACAAATGCAGAATTTGGTCAATTTTTTGTAGGTTGATGAAACTGATCTCTTGGCTCTCCAAAACACTATGCAGACCTTTTTGGAAATAATTTTAGCCTCGTTCTCAATGTTTCAAATTTACTAAAAGGTTTGTCTCATTCGCCTCTTTTACCAAAAGTTGAGCTCCTTCAACAATTATCTTTCAAAAACTGGACTGATTCAACAGGCTTCACGGAAAAAATATCCGGCGAATGAGCCCAACTTTTAATAATTTGGCCTTCATTGTTGAACCTCTTTTTCACAGAAATTGGGCTCACTTTTTTCATGAAAGAAGATGAGTGGACCCAGTATCTCAAAAATTAGGCTCATTTGTCTTGATTTAGAAGGCATCGGGAGTTTGTCTTGACTTTGGGAATGGGTGAAGTAAAGGCAATACAGATGACTTAGACACGCCGAGAGTGGGTTCGAATCCCGCCAGGCTTTTGTGTTTTGCAAAAGAGGGAACGATAGTGAACCAAAATTTTGATTCGTTTTTACCCAACAGTCTGGATCATGTTATTGCAAGAACGAACTGTCTAAAAATTCTGCTCAAAATTAGACCTCTTGCGTCCACAATTTAGGTGATAATTTTGTAACCAATATAGTACTGAAGAGAGGGGCCATTAAGCTCCCTTACATGAAGATTGTAGGCAAAAGTTTTGATCCGAATAGATCATCAGATATTCTAGGCTTCAAAGTTCAAACGAGTTGATTTAGACTGAATAAACAAAAATAAACTGTGCCAATGAGTTTCTTTTTCTTGATTGAGAAGCGGTGTTTGCTAACTAGTACTTTGATCGTTGTTTTACCGATGAGCTTAAACACTGAACAAAATTGGGCGTATTGATGTACTTTTGCCCGTCAAATTCAACCATTTTGAATCTAGGCAACTAATAATTCGAAAATTTACGATTTAGAAAATAACGTAAAAGGGTTTTAAAAGCAAAGTCCAATCCTTTTTGGTGCCATTTCTCGAGAAAAATGTTTTACTTTTGTTTCTCGCAATTGATTTATTTTCTCGTTTTTTTATTCGCCGTCCGAGCTAGCTTTGGAGCCGAAACTGACATCCTTTCGTCGAGTGACCCACCCAAAGATGATGAAGTCAATTCAGCACCCAAAGATAAATACAACATTTTGGCAGTTATGTTGTGCTACAGGGGTCACTTCAATCCGGGCTCAGGTCAGTCTTCTAGAAATCCCACGTCAAGGTCTGCTACATATATTTAGACATACCCACCCAAAACTCAAAATGTTTCGATTAGCCCCGACAAAATATTTTTTTTCTCACTATGCTCATCTGAGAAAAACCAATTCAAAATAACTACTAGAAGTTTTATATCGGTGTAGTAAAGACACCGTTTTTTGAACATAAAAACCCTATTTGTAAAAACTACTACTTTTGAGAAGCAAATAAAAACTTGGCTGTTTTCTCCTGTGATTTGTATTCTGTTGAATTGGTAAAGATTATAATAAGAACAACATTATAATGAAGACATTTACGGTGATTATATTATTATAATCACCTATATAACAACTATGCAAAAATAGGAGGCCAAAAGATGTATTTTGCGAATTTTAGGTGGGTTCCGCAACAAAGACGCTTACTTTGTTCTTCTTTTGTCATTTTATTTTTTTATCAACCAGACAAAAACTGACATGTTTAAGTGCTTGTCTTTGGAGCCCAGAAACATAGAAACACAAAATTATCCAGTGCACCGCTTAGCTTCGTAATGAATCAAAATAATCATAAGATTTATGATAATAAAGAAAAAAAGATCAAAAAATAAATTTGATAACAACCACTTTAACATCAACAATCCTGATAGCAGTAACAAAACCAAAAACTATAAACGATAACAATAAAAATAGCAATAACAATAACAATAACTATAACAAAAAAAAACGAAGAATAATAAAAACAATTTAAAAAAATTATAAGTAAAAAAACAAAAAGAATTTTGAAAAGATAATGAGAATCAACTGTTAATAGTTGTCGGACAATCAGTATCCAGATAACTGGTCGCCTGGCCTTTCGTCTCAAATTTTTATAGTTTTCTGAAATTGGGAAAATTCTATGATTCAAGCCTAAAAGTTAAAAGCTTTTTTTTTTCTGGGACGCTTTACAATACAATCAACTGTCAGTTTCAAAAAGTAGTTTCAAAAAAGTCAAAGCCAATGTTGATTTTGTGATTTTACGCTCCCCTATAGGAGAATTAAGTCGCAAAGTGTTGCTAAATCAAAGGATATGGTTGCTAAATTTGGCTCTGTATATTTTGTCAAAATTCTTTTAATTTTTTAGCGTACAAGCCTTTGTTGTTTGCGAAATGTTTTTTGGATTGTTACATTTTAAAGGCAACAAATGTAAAATTGATTGATAAACAACAAAAGCAACTTCTCCCGGAAGCCTAAGTGGCTTGGGTGTTTTGTTTCCGATTGCCTACTAGCTTCACCCGGCTTTCCAATCTCAGCAGTCAGACCGAAAACTACCTTAAGCAAAGTTTTTAGTTTGGAGCACTTTGATTATTAGTAATGAATGTTGTGAAAGGCGTAGGTCTCGGTGATTTTATTTTTATGGCTTTCAGGAAAAAGTCATCAAATGTTCCAAAAACTGCAGTTGTTCATTTAGTCAAAAAAAATTATTTTTGAATTTACTTAGCTTTATTTGCACTTTGTGAAATCAATTGAAATTCATCTGCTGAAAGTTACTTAAATAGCATTCTCCAAATACGAATGTGCAAATGGCGCAAAAAACAAGAATAATTTTTAGTTTTTAAAGTGGAATTTGAATTTAGATTTCCAGCGGCTTAAAAAATTAACTTCCTCATTCAATTTTTTTAGGTTCGGTCATTGTTATCAAAAGAGCTCAAATTGTTCTAGAAACTCAAAAAACTTAAATGGCATCTTTTTTTCTCTTCAAGTTCGAACGTCGCGATTTTTTTCAACGGAGTTAGTAATATTTTTCTGTTTACTCTCGTTCATTACTCTTTCCAACTGTCAACAGTTGGCTATGAGAGAACATATCTTGACGCTTTAAAATTTTGGTTTGATTCATGAAGAAGATCCGGAAAACGAATTTTCAGAAATAAAATAAGCTCTGTCTGTCACTACGTGTACCGAGGAATCCGGGGCAGGTATTTTTCTTAGGCAGAGAACCTCCCTCGCAATAAAGCTTGCAAACGCTGCCTGTGTACGCGGCGCGTATAATGATAAAAGTAGGGAGCGGTCAGCAAAGTATATTTCAATTGTGATGATTTCAAAAGTATATTACAATTGTGATTGTATGTGCAAGTTGAGGGTCTAGCAATGGGCCCTTCCCTCGCCGTAATTCTTGCAAAACCAATGGCTGAAAGAGTACGAGTTTTTCCTGAGACATGAAAAACCGATGGGAACGGAGATACAGCCAATGAATGACGAAAACGGTCTGTGCCCAAGTTGCAGCAGGAAAGTAACATATAGATCATGGGGGTTGATTTTGAGAGTTGCCGAAACAGGTGTTATTTAAAATGCGGAAAAATATCCGATGATGTATGCGGATGAAAATCAGAGATAGTATGGTATTGTGAAAACTGCTGTCGAGCTATAAACAAGGAGAAGGATAATCCACATGTAAAACTGTTCCTCAAGTATGTGGATGACATTGTTAGAACAGTTAAAAGTGAGCCGAGTTGTATTCTCAATGCCGCCAGTTCTCTTCGGCCAAATCTGCAGTTCACTCTAGAGGAAACTAATTCAGAGGGCAATTTGCCAACCTGGATTTGAACATAATTGTATCGTAGGATTGGTTTGTAACCTGCAATTGGTATCAAAAGTCAACAGATACTGGGACTATACTGAACTATAAAAACTGCGCCCCAACTCAGTATAAGCGTAGTGTTATCCAAGGCACTGTACATAGAGTGTTCAGGGGTACATCTCATTGGGAGCTATTTGATACGGCTATCAAAACTAATGGCGGACAAATCAGTACCCTGAAAATTGGTCCGCAAAGGTAGCAGCAGACGCCCTGGGCAAAATCATCGAGGGTAAAGGCAAGCTCCTGGATAAGGAGAAGAGTTCTTCAACTCAATCACCAAAAGATGTCAAGCCTCCAATGCTGATGGTGGAATATAGAGATAACCAAAACCAATATTTTGCAAGCAGTTTACGAAATTCAACCAAAATTCAACTGGTTTTCAGCACAAGAAAGCTAGAATCTTGTTTACCATCGCTGAAGTCAGCTTTTTTAATTGACCTCACGTCAGGAGTGGTTAATAAACTATCATGTAGTGGATGAACTTCCACCTATGTTGGACAAACTGTTCGACCTTTGACCACTAGAATTGAGGAACATAACAAAGCAGACTCACCAGTAGGCCTCCACCTTTAGCAATGCAGTCTTCAGGGAAATAGCGCAGATAATAGTTGGGAAACTATAGATAGGTCGAACAACCAAACAAAACTGTTAACACTAGAGGCAATAAATTTCAGGAAAGCAACCGGGCTTGAACACGCGCGTTGAGTGTAGGAGCAGGGAATTAACACTGAAATTTTAGTACCAAATATTTTTTATTGTTTATTTAAAACGTACATGTCTAAATCGAAATTATGACTCAGAAACTTCCAGACAAATTAATTAAAATTATTTTTCTGCCAGTCGGTCATATTTGGAAGTTTGACCTTGAGCAATGCTCAGTCTTGATTTTGGGGTGAAACG